TTAATCTCTATATGATTATATTTAAATACACATTGGGTTAGAAACTTTCGATGTTTTAATTCTCCATTCGGAGAACGGAGGTTGCAGATTGAACTTTGACGTTTGCTTTGGCAAAATGACAAACTTTATTGGGTGTGGTGTCATTAAACTAATAAATCTCAAGAGGGCGAACTGGCACTCGCTGTCTTTGTCCTTTCATACTGTAGTGATCACATGTTGTCAGCCTGTTTTGTGTGTCACTCTGCTGTGTTTCAGGAGCCAGAGTGGGATGTCAGCAGCGCATTTGTGGCCAACGCCGCCAGCCACATCAAACTCAAAGGCCTGAAGAACAGAGCAACACAGATCTCCAGAGAAAACGAGGAGAACGAGGCCCGGAGCAGCCAGGTGCACACACACACACACACACTCACACACACACCGTTATGATGAGTTTGAATGAAGTGCGTTTCACAATGACAATGGAGGTAAACTTACTGTTTCTGTCAATGGAGTCCGGTCGCTTTGAGGAGATTTAATAGAATGTTTTGTACCTTAATTCATTATTTTATTGTCCAACTTACCATTGATTTTATACATTTTTTTTAATAGACCTACATTATTGGTTTGGAACACATTAGGTTTGGACACAATATACTAAGAGAACTGATGTGATTGCAGACGGAGAGCACAGAAGAAATGAAGAGGAGGGGCGAGTCTCTGACAGGTGAATCGATGTCTGACCTTTAGATACACGTTGTGCCCTTTTAATAACTAATGAAGAAGATAAACACGTATTTACGTTGTTTAGGTTAATTCAGTCCATCAGATTCCAAATATTGTGTGAATTTCATATTTCATTCTGACTCTTTTAAGTTCTCATCTCATCCTCCAATACTAATGAGTAGTGTTAATTAACCTGAGACTGTCAGACCTAAAGGGACTTCTGAAGGGACTCTGGTGCTCTGAAACACTACCGCTTTTGTCCACAGGGGTCGCCAGAATCAACACTAAATGAAAGTTCCACGTAGTAGCTTTAATATGTTGTGTTGAGGCAAAGTTTCAATAATGGATCAGGGATAGACGTTAGCTGTTGTTAGTCGTTAAAACTTTACTGAGACATAAAACCACAGAATAACTTCAGGTATTGTCTACTGACATTGCTGCTAATGCAAAGTTTTAAATGCTGGTTCACCCAAATTACAAAAACATATTTTCTCACATTCCACAATACCTCTGCGCTCAAAGCTGTGAAAGATGTTCCTTTTCATGAACAAAGCTCTGGTTACTAAGAATAATTCACAGAACACACTGTCGGTAAAAAGTCCTCATAGTTTAAAAGTCTGTGTGTGTGTGTGTGTGTGTGTGTGTGCGTGTGTGTGCTTTCTCCAGTGCAGGGCATTCAGATGTTCGAGCAAGGCCAGTACATCCAAGCGGTGGACATGTTCACAGAAGCCATCTACTGCAACCCCAAGGACCACAGGTGACATATGACCTCTGACCTGTGCAGCTCAGCGACAGTGACCCTGTCCTCTCCTGATGGCACCCCACCTTCATCCTCCTCCTCCTCCTCACGTTCACTTTGGTTTGACATCAGTGTCTCTACGCGACTCCCACAGGTTCTATGGAAACCGCTCCTACTGTTATTGGTGTCTGGAGCAGTACTCGTCCGCCCTCGCAGACGCTCAGAGGTCCATTCAGCTGGCTCCCGATTGGCCGAAGGGGTACTTCCGTAAGGGGTGTGCTCTGATGGGGTTAAAGGTCAGCTCACAGCAGACAAATACGTTCCTACAGAACATTCGATTTTGCAGTTTGTGATTCAGCATTTGGACTTAAAATGTATCTTATTACGATATCATTTTTTTAAAACACACCTGCGTAGTGTAAAAAACGATGTGTGTGTGTGTGTGTGTGTGTGTGTGCGTGTGTGCGTGTGTGTGTGTGTGTGTGTGTGTGCGTGTGCGCATTCCAGCAGTTCAGTGAAGCAGAGGCGGCCATGGAGCGGGTGTTGAAGTTGGATCAGCTCTGTAAGGAAGCCTCCAGTAAACTCCTCTCCTGCCGCGTCCTGCAGCTCACGGTGAGGAGAACCGAGGCGTCCATCAAGAACTTCATGAATTGAAGTGAACTGAAGCGTGCACATAAAACCAGGAGCTGAAATCAGTCCAGTTCCAGCTTCCGGCTTCTTTCTTTTGTATTTGTGTTTATAATTGATTTAAGAACATGATATCAACATGTTCAATCCAAACCATATGAACTGTGGTGAATACAGACGTGTGGTTAGCTGGCTGTTAACAGGTCAAGAGGGACCAACAGTCTGGACGTACAAGAGCTGAGATTGTTTTCCAGCTCTGATGACCAGGTTGAGGCGGTCGGTTAGAGCCGAGCGTTGTCCTCGTCTAAATGTCGATGACGTGTCGTTCTTGAGTGCATTTGAAAAAGAAAAGAGATGTTTCCATGAGGTGACTTTAATGTTCTTACCTCTTGACTTTCCCTGTAGGAGCTGGGCTTCGAGGAGGAGCAGAGTGAAGCGCTGCTGGAGAAGTTCACCACCGTTCAGGCGGTCGTCACCTCACCAGAGGCCCAAAGTAAGAGCTCAGCCGCAGCCCCGCTTGTGTCCACACGGGGGCAGCACCGCTCTCTGTTCCAGTCACGTCACACATCAACAGCAGAGACCGCAACACTTATGTGTAAAGATTATTAAATACATGGACAGTAAGATATGAACAGCACACTGCTGCAAAGAAAGGGGCAGAGAAATATGTAGTTTACAGAGTAGAATATATTCAGTATGTTGGATATGAAGATGTATCAGCAATCTGGACTAAAGCAGACATGCTGCATGAACTGTAGAGTCCAGTGGGAGTTTATTGTTTATTGATATGATGTTACAGTAAGTAAGTGCTGTGTCAGCACATTAGTGTACTTTACAGCAGACCACAGTGGTTCATCGTTGTAAATACATCTCATTGATGCTCTGTTTTTGTTGTTTTGTCCTTCCATGATGTCCACTTCCTGTCTCCTCTTTACTTCCAGCACTGAAGGACCAGAGTGGGTACGTGTCTGTAATAGACAGTAGTTTAACAGTATCATTCTAAACATGAAGCAAATCAATCCTCTCTTCTTTTTATAGTTATTATTTTTGAATGTTGTCATACGTACGCTGCGTGTAGTAAAAAAATGACAATATAATGCAAACATGAACTTCTTTGTTCTCTCCTGCTGACTTCCCTCTTTCTGTCTTCCAGGAGCTGTCGCTCTCTGTGGGTCGGGAACATCACATTGGAAGTGACAGAGAAAGACGTCTTGGACGTCTTTAAAATGTAAAAACACTGAGCGTGTGTGAGGACACGTTGCATGTTTAGCCTGGAGTCATGAATTCAGTCTTTAGGGGTAAACAACAACAGAATAAAGCCGTCAACTGAAGCCCATCTAGTTGTTCCAGGACCACTGCAATAAGGAGATGGACTTCACATAAAGTTGTTCTATGAAGGGTGATAAAAAGCTCCAACTGTACGCTCTGTTTATTTTGAACAAACTCTGGTTGTTTTAATAAGGAAGTGAGGACATAATTGACCTTTTTCCATCATTCTGTGAGCAGCTGTGATCTGCTTTTATGACCAAAATAGATATCGGTCATTGTCGAGCTCACTGATAAACACATTGCATTTCCTG